CTTATAAAAAAAAATAAAAGCTGCCAAAAAGTTGCACTATAATAATAAAATTATCCATGCTCACAATAAAATTAAAGCAACATGGAATGTTATAAAAAGTGATATGGGAGTAAATAACAACAAATCTGATAAACAAGATATAGACAAAAATTCTGAAGAAGCTTCCATAAAAATTAATGCTGAGAATTTCAACGATCACTTTTTAAAAATTGCTGACAGTATCTCTGGTAAAATTAAGAGTAATAATAGTTTAAATACTAATAGCACTACTTATTCTCCGTTCAACTTATGCTGATTCTAAATTTTCAGTATGATAACATCATATTTCACAATACTTCTACAGGTGAAATTGAAGACATCATAAAAAATCTTCCCTGGAAAAACACTTGTGGTTACGATGAAATACCTATAAAATTATTGAAAATTAGTGCACCCTTTATTAGCTCTCAATTATGTTGTATTATAAATGTCATTATCTACAGGTGTTTTTCCAAGTAGACTGAAATATTCGATTGTTACCCTTATATACAAGAAAGGTGATAAAAATAACGTATCAAATTTTAGACCAATATCTCTATTACCATCCTTCTCTAAGATTTTCGGAAAAGTTATATAAAGAGAATGGCTCACTTTATTACAAATAATATCCTCTCAAATTGTCAGTTTGGATTTAGGAAGAACACATCAATTATAAATGCAACTTACAAATTAACAAATGATATACTGATGGCCTTAAATAATAATATATGATATTGCACTGATGATGATGATCAAACATGTTCTCATACTTTTTCAGATTGGGGTAGGGCTAAGTGTGGTGTACCTCAAGGTTCCATCCTTGGCCCAATCCTTTTTCTTTTTTACATAAATGATTTACCCAAAGTTGTAAATAATATTTCTAAGCCAGTTTTATTTGCCGATGATACTAGTATCATCGTCAGTAATCCCAATATAGTAAACTTTACAAACGATCTCACTCTTGTATTTGAACAATTGAACATATGGTTTAACTCTAATTTATTATCATTAAATTATAATAAAACACAATATGTGCAATTTCGAACCACCAATGCATTAACAACTCCTATAGATATTAGCTATAAAAATAAACACATTCCTAACGTTACAAGCACTCAGTTTTTAGGTATCACTCTTGACAATTCCTTGTCTTGGAAGGACCACATAGATGGACTTAAGGCTAAATTGTGCAAGGCATGCTACTGTTATTTTTGTTCGGTCATTATTGACACGATTTTTCGCTATGGCTAAAGCACCACGATTATCACAAAAAATAGGAATTGTGATTTCCTTGTTACATATTTCAAACCATAATTTTCTTAAGAAAATGGCTTCTTTTGCGGTCTCTGATAATGCCATATATTCTGCTTCTGTGGTTGACAAGGCTACAGTCCTTTGTTTTTTACATCGCCAACTGATAGCTGCTCCTGATAGTTTGAACACAGATCCACTAAAGGATCTACGATCTAAATTTC